TTCTGCAAAAGATAATGAACGTTCTCAGACAAGCATGAGATGGCCTTGTGCGTTTTTGAACTAATTTCGACCCCACTCTATTCAGCAATAACGAGATAACTATTTCCTTCCGGGCAAGGGTTCCTTCGAGTTCAGCACTAGGGGCGCATTACCGTTCCCGGTCAAGGACTGAAGTGTCATTCCAATCCGATCGCGGGGTTGTCCTCCGGCTGCCATAAAGGGTCATCTGGGGCGGGATCCCCTGGTCGATCCGGAGGCCCTTACAGGGATACATCACATTCACATTATTTACCTCCCTGATGGGGTGGCCTTCTGACTCGCGCAGTTGGCCCCGGATCAACACAGCAACCCTAACTAACGCAACAACATCCTGGTTCCCATGTATGGCCCAATAATTGTCCCAAAGACTCAAGTTCTATATTTTTTCAGAGTTCTTCAGATATCATGACAACCTCTTGAACGTAAATTGTAGATAGAAATGGTTACCAAATCTGTATAGGCATGGCTCACAAATGCTCGCCTTCAACTCTTCATCGTTCGGTCAGAACTGATTACGGAGACAAATTATGCAACATCGTTTGTACGTGTGCGCTCGCAAATCTTAGCAACGACACCCGACGTTGCAATCTCCATAGGCCACGCGGCGTTGGCTCTGCGGCTGTGACACCAAGCTATGGCCAATAGGGGAGTGAAGAAAAGATGACTGAAGAACTAGATATCTCGGTATGCATGTTTAAGGTACAAGACAAGAAAGCTACCCGCAACTTACGGCTGAACTTGAGGGGGGGGGGGGTCAGTTATCATTGTCGGCCACTCCCCCCCCCCCCACCTCGTCAAGAGGGGAGCCACAGCCACCTGTCCCCCTCCCCTGCTCCCACACCCATGATGGCTTAAGCAGTCGAGACTTCAACAGCAGTTGGGCCACTTATTCTCGTTTAGAAAACACTGTGCGCACCCTACCTCGGATGTTTTGAATACTTTGCTCATGGTTTTTCGTTAACACGCGACCAGGTGGCCGGCTACATATCCTTCGCTTGGGTGGGGGGTAGGGGTTAATTGGACCCCCTGAGATCTGGGAACTAAGAAGCTGGGGACACAAATGTTTAGGGTGTGTTGACCTGTACGTGAACTCGCTTAGGTCAAAGTTTCAGGTTCCTAGGTCAAGACGTCAACTAAAAATATGTCACTTTCAAACTTCGCCGATTTACTTCCCAGCGGCACTTTCTGTGATAATCGTGCCTCTCATCCAAATCTTGCAGGTTATAACCTCCTTCCGCTGCCCAAGAAAAAAAAAACACTCAATCTCATAAGAATACCTTTATCCGATGGCTTTTAACGTGATATCAAGCGCCATGTCACGGCGGTCTGCACCAGCTTGTGCACGTCATAGCCATCTGACAGCTACGAACCAGTACTAATCCAGATAATATATATATATATATATATATATATATATATATATATATAATATATATATAACAATAATAAACCAGAAACTACTACAGTAATATTTACTAGACGCGAGTCCACGTAACCCTGCCACAAACAAATCGGAGAAGGAGAGTTCAAACCTGATTGGACAACATGACCTGAAAGAGGACAACATGACCTGAAAATGACGCTTTAGGTCAGGAAACGCGACAGACGTGCGCTCTATGGGCAGAACGGGAGAACAAAATATACTTTTGTGAAAGCTGGGTACCTCCTAGGATTTTGAAGATTGATAACTCAGCACAAGTGAGCTAATACTCCCCCCCCCAAAAAAAAATCAGGCGCTTGACATTTCATGTGTTACCAAAATCAGGCCGATCTGGACATTCAAGAAAGCATATCTAAAGCCTGCGAAACATTTAAAACCAACAAGCAGCCGTGAAGGCATTTATTTGGTCGGTTTTTTGGAGAGCACACATTTCGCTTTAAAAGGTTCCACAAAGTACCCACAGTAAGAAATACTCTGACATGGCAGCATGACTATTACAACAATGTGTCAAGCAAAAGGGTTTTTCCAACAGACCATCACCCAAGCCCACCAATTCACAGACGTGTTTTGAAGAAAAAGCACACAACCACCATCCCAAAACTTCAAATTGTAGTGATTCCGAAACAGGGTATTCCGATTGCCTGCTGATCGGGGTCATGCAGTACCAGCTTCTTCATAAGGGTTCTTTCCGTGTTGTTTCTTCCTGGGCGTCAGATCTTGATGTGCGGGCGGTTCAGGTACCACCGCGAGCAGGTCCTAGCCAAGCTGATCCAAAACTGCATTGTTAAAACAAGCCCGCCGACAACGGCGACGGTCAGACGAAGTAGGCTCACTGCGACATTGTATGATGCATTTCAAGCCACAGGAAATGAGACCGCGTTGTCCGCGCTCCGACAGAGCGACGGCGTCGTCCGCCTCCGCGTCTGCGTCGGGCGACGGTTGCCGCAGGCGCAGGCGACGGCGAACGCGACCAACAGCAGGGCCAGCAGGGCAGTGAAGCGCATGGCTGCTGGTGAGAGGTGTCTGTGTGCCGAGATGGCCGCCCGTGCCGCCTTTTAAACCCTGAAGAGACAAAGGCCGGGCCTGGCGTGGACCCAGGAATGGCTGATTGGCTCAGACCAAGTGTTCGTGAAGCACAGGTTGATCGATGACAGCACCCTGAATAATATACATAATGAGGACCGATCGATTATTGATTTGGCTCCCATTTGGCTTTTTGCAACCAATGCTTGAAAAAGACATGGACTTCACCCGCGAAACGAGCTGTTTGCCTGGCAGGACAGAACGACACCAGTGCATTTCCAAGCGTTCTTTTCGTCACGTTGTCTTTGGCGTGTAGAGACCAGAATGTCTATACCATGTCGGGATAGGCATCACCGAATACACCAACGTGAACGTAAAAGGAGGAGAAGCGTCGACACTTGTACAACAGCGTGTTTGACCAGTAGAAATGGCCAACACCGTTGTACTGGCGGCATCTCCCAACTTCACTACAATGCCAGTAACAGCTACGGCGGTGAAAAAGAGCGCAGGTGAAGTTTGACGAATCACAGGGGAGCGAAACACCACCGGCGCGAACGGCCTGGCCCATCATCTATAACGTTCATTTACACAATGGCGTTACCGCGGCAGACAGTGAAATGTTTCACAATACCTATATTTTCTTGAAAAGCAAGACATTTATTGAACTGGGACAGCTCATCGATCAGCCGAAGAGATCAGGCTCTCTACTGGAAACATCGCACGTGGTAACTACGCCCCGAGTAGTTCCAAGCTCGGCTAGTGATCAAGACCTCGTCGCAGCCGACATTGCAAAGTCCCGCGGCAGACCAAGCCCTGCCGAAGGGACTGTGCGTGCCACGCGCGGACTGAACGCAGACGAGATATGTAATCATTTTTTAATATCAGGCTGGAGCTCCATCTATTATTCGGATACTACGAATGACAAATCGGCAGCGGGGTTGTCGGTGTGGTCACCTGCATCAGCCGTCACCGGCCCGCGTCAAGATCAAGCCGAGATATTGTCGGCGCCCGTCGATGAACAGAAAACGAGTCAAGATAACGAGCGCAGAGCACGTGTTTGGCGCGACATGAACCCTTGTAACAGCACGCATGCATGATATCGTGCGTGTCGCGATGCGACAGGGTTGCTCAGTGTCGTGACCACGCATGTTCCCTCGAGATTTCCCACCGGCACTGCAGGGAAAACAACGTGGAAAAAATGTCTAACGCTTCGTGATCTCGTCCAACATCCGAAACTAGCTCCTCTTCCGACTAAGTATGCAGCCCAACAGGCTCATCACCTCGACCCACACTTTTCTGCTGTGGGCCCCAGCGTTGCAGCGCCGCCGCGAGGCAGGTGGATGTGTCGCCGCTGAGCGCTGAGCGTGGATGATGGGTCGTGGTTCACCTGTTGTGTTGGAAAACGCTTCGTATTGTGTCTGGCATTGTACCATCCGACTGCTAATTAGCTACTATTTCATCATAGCATGAGGCTAGTAAAAGGACTGCTTCAAACAATTCTATGTATACCGATTTCCATCCTGCCGACCGTTTGGAGAACTGACTGAACGAGTAGTATGTGAGTCCTACTGGTCCGCGTACCCCGACACTCCATCCTGTGTGATGAACATGGCCTCCGGCGGTCCGGGCACTCCACGGAGACGGTCATGTGGTCGACCCGGACGTGCATCTTTCGAAGTCCTAGACAACCAAAAAACCTCTTCACGAACTGCGATTGGCACACCCACAAGCCTCAACAGCGTCGAGAACGAACGGCTCCTGGAGAAGCTCCATCGACGCAGGGACGTGCTCTGTGCTCACAGGACGCGGCTGCTAAGTCACGGCGTGATCCAGGGCCCGACACCAGTACCAATCGCAGCTTTGTCAGTCACCAATGACTTTCCATCTCACATCACCGACTGCCAGCTCGTCACGAGTGTGGACAACTTGCACGCGTGCCCCCTGAACGCTTCAACTCGCCTTCAAAATCGCATCGAAGAGACTGTCGGTAGCTGACCCTTGCCTCGCGCAAAACAGGGTTGAGACACATCCGACGAAAACCGATTTGATCTTCGTACACTCACATCATCGACGCTGAGGTGGTATTTTTAAACTGAATTCAGATATGTCGGTTAATTCAAGTCCCCCACTTCGTCAAAACCCTTGGTAATGTAGACGGAAACCTGCCTTGTGAGTTACATGTGTCATCAGAGGTCAAGCGCTGCGATGCATCATAATTTCCGGTATCTCAGAATTTCTAAAGAAGCTGACAGAGAATGCTAAAAAGAGGCCAACAGAAGCTTTATATTTCTTCATTTACAATACTGTTCGGACTATGTGGGGACAGTGCAGCAGAGCCCAACGGATCGTATTAAAAAACCGCCAACCACTGTGCGCGTATCGTAAAAGGTGCACGGCGATATGATCAAGTTTGTCCAGTGTCCGAGTGTCCGGGTTAAAATGAGAGCAATATTGGCGGGCTTTTACCTGAAGGTGACCTAGCGGTACCGTAATAATCCTACACGTCTCGGTCCACCGAATCTCTGAAGGGCGTGTGCTGTACGGTGATGAGCTGTCAGCCCGTGCCACGCGTGGAACCGCCGATGGCGATACGGTGTCAGCCCGTGTCACGCGTAAACCGCCCATAGTTTTTTGGAGCTGCTGAGGGCGCGCGCGGAGATAGCCCATCGGAGCATTGCCTTCAGAGCTGCGTACACATGAAGCAGATCTCCTGCGACGGTACGGGAGTCGGCTGGCCGGAGAGCCTGTACCCGGCCAGTTCGGCAAGCGTTCCAACACACTGACGCGTGACAGTGCATCACGTGCCTTAGCATGCGTGTGCGTGTGTGCGGGTCCCGAAGCATTGTTTGCTCGCCCCTCGTAAAGCGAATGCTTCCACGATTGGAACACCATCAGTTTACAGACGCGGCCGCCTCACCTAGCGCGAAGATGCAACGGCACGAAGGGCCTACCGGTAACGAATGAGGGGTCGGGCCGGACAAAGATATTCAGATCAACAGCGGCAGGCGTGCAATGCGGGGAAGGGGTGGGGGCGCGAGCTGGTGGAGGTGGAGGGGGGAGGGGGGGGGGGAGCAGCTGAAGGTGACACGGCGACAGCCGAGGACCGGCAGGTGACGCCACAGATGGCCACCTCAGCCGGGGGCCGGGTGGGCGCAGCAAATCCGAGAGATGACATGATCATTGCTTCATCGTGAATATTTAAGGGCAAATTTGTAATACCGAATGAGGCGGACTGAGGAATGAATGCAATGCACGTGGCCAAGGCCATACTGGCGGGCCATTGTAAGCAGGGTACGCGGAGAGCGTACTCAGAAACCAAATGCCAGACATGATTCTCGGGGATGAGCAAAGCCGCAACCGAGCCCCCCCCCCCCCCCCCCCCTCCCCTCCCCAACCTCCAAGGCACTCATCAGCTACCTGACGAGGCTGCTGCTGGCCAGAACCACACCAAGTCGGGATCAGAGGGTATAAAGCAGGAGCCACTCAGTGGTCGCATGAATAGGCGCCGGCGCGCTTGATGTTTCATAAACCGTTCCCTGTACGCCGTTCACCTCTCAGGCTCCTGTGCGCCACAGAAGCCTATCCCCTTCGTACAACGCCGCGCCGTTCACGCGCGAGCAAATGTCGCTTTTCCCCGCTCACACTGAGCCGGGTCAAGCTGCGCAGACAGCTTCCGCCCAGTGGCTCGCGATAGCTGCGCCGCCCGCCCGTCCCGCATCCTGGCTTTCTTCGCCCGCGACCGTCTTGCCCGGGCCTCTTGCCGCCGCCTGCGGTCGCGGCGCTCCGCGCACCGCCGGCGGCCGGGCGGCACCAGTCGCGCCTGGAGCCCATGTGAGACCCACCTGGTGGTTGTGCCAGGTGCGACAGCGTCACCAGGTCCGGCCAGCACCTTCACGCCGCCCGCGTCCAGCACGTCCTTGACGTTGCGCTGGTGCAGGATCAGCTTGCTGATGAACAGGATCAGCCGGGTCGCGCTCAGCCCGGTCCGTGCACTGGCCGACGTGGGAGGGACGGCCGGTCAGCGGCGACGGGCGCAACACTCCGCCGAGTGCTCCCGCTGAATCGGTGCGCGCTTTCGTTAAAAAAAACAAGTCTATCTGTGGCATCGCACTTACCGAAACAGCATAAACTCAGTACAAGCACGGCCATGGACGACAAGGACGGCCTTCACTTACCCACAATGCAAACCAGGAACCGGCAGGCTTCACTACCAATAGTGCCAGCCGAGAGTCCGTGGGCTTCAACTACCCACAGTGCCAAACGAGAGCCGGTGGGCTTCACTACCCACAGTGCCAACCAGGAGCCGGGGGAGGCTTCACTACCCCCAGTGTCAGCCGGGACCCGGAGGGCTTCATTCATACTAAGCCAACCGGAAGCCGGAGGGCTTCCACTACCCTCAGTGCCAGCCGGGAGCCGGCAGGCTTCACTACCCACAGTGCCAACCGGGAGCCCGCGGGCCGTCACCCACGCCCCGCCCGCCGCGACGGCTGACTGACCCGCTCCAGCATGCTGACGACTGTACTTGGTGTCGCCGAAGTGTCCGATCTCGGCGTGGTGGCGGCCGTAAACAATGGCCATGGCCTGCAGGCACATGCACTTCATCGGAACCTTGGGCGTCAGCAGGAGAAACGGTGGTTGGTACAGGTCGTTGAAGAACTCGAAACTGCGGAAGGAGGCGAGAGAGCGTTGACAGTGGGGCAGACGAGAACGTAATGTGAACGCCATGTGACGCTTAAGAACACCGCAAGTACCGATACACGATGTCCAATTCACTCAACTGCGGTAGCAGATGTACACGCACAAAGCATTGCAAACTGCAAGTACAAGAGCATCACCCATAAGGCTGACAATGTGAATGAGTGCAGGTGGGAAGGATGGGTGGCAGACACTTTCACACGCACCGCCTCTCAAGAGCCTCCCCGCCAGCCCTGCTGAAATACGCAGCCCGCGAAGTAATCGAGCGCCAAATCGAGCCGAGCGTCGAGCGCGAGCGTAGGGCGTGCGTGGTGGTGGGGGACTCACGACTTGCGGATAGGTGCCTGGTCCAGCTGGTTGGCCTCGTCCTGCTCCAGCAGCAGGCGTAGGTAGTAGTCTGCCGATCTGGATCTCCCTCCTGCAGACAGTGATACTGCACCTGGCGACGACGACAGCGCGTTCCGTCAGAGGAGCACGTGACTGGACAGACCCTCCGATGGTCAGCACTGCCGCGCCCCGTCAGAGGAGCACGTGGACTGGACAGACGCTCCGATGGTCAGCACTACCAGCGCCGTCAGATGGAGCACGTGACTGGACAGACCCTCCGATGGTCAGCGCTTAGCCGCGCCGCGTCAAGAGGAGCACGTGACTGGACAGACCTTCCGATGGTCAGCACTGCCGCGTCCGTCAGAAGAGCACGTGACTGGACAGACCTTCCGATGGTCAGCACTGCCACGCCCGTCAGAGGAGCACGTGACTGGACGGACCTTCCAACGGTCAGCAATGCCGCGCCCGTCTGAAGAGAACGCGACTGGACGGACCTTCCCACGGCCAGCACTGCCACCAACAAGACACCCTTTCCTAGGGTTGTTTCCATTTTGTGACTTTATTTTGAGTACTGTACCGGCGGATATTGTGCGTGAATATACGCAAAAAGGCGATGCGAAGTCAGGATACATACAGAAAACCTTCAGACCAGCTTGGGAACACCTTCACCTCCCCTATTTAGGGTGATCGACACACCAACCGACGACAAATGTCATTTTGTCATTTACATTTCGCTGCTGAGCGATTCATTGGCGAAAGAAAACATATATTTTGGGGACGGTGAGGACGATTCTGGCCCTGTGAGAGCAACAGTTCATTACTGACGGACCCGTAAATTTGCAGAGATAACATATTGGGGCTAGCCAGTGCAGGATCATTGCAATGTGCCACAGATCCTGTCACACACAAACGAGCAAAAATAAACGTGCGGCAACGTAGTTTCCATTAGGTTCCGCAGATTTCCTGCAAGGATACACTCACTTTGCACCCCCGCTTAGTTCCTGTACCCAACACACAACAGGCCCTTTTGTGTTTCCCTGGCCGCTCACCACGTCAACAGTGTACTGGAGCCGCAGGCCACACCCGAGGTATCCATCTCCCAGACCTCTGAGCGGCCGTGCACCCGGCGTAACCTGTCGCTCCGCCCGGCCAGAGCGGCCTGCGGAGCCGGCGCTCACCTCGAACTCCGTGTGGTTCCACGAGATGTCGACGCCGCCGCCCAGGTCACGGTCGGTGCCGAAGTTGCGCATCTCGTTCTCCAGCGCCTCGCGCAGCTCCTCCCGCGTCTGTTTGGGCCGGGCGCGAGGGCACACGGGTCAGCGGCTGCCGGGCCCGGACCTGCCGCCGGAGCGCCACTCGCGAGCACGGGCCCACATTTGGAACGTGACGCCGGACACCGCTCACTGGTGCAGGCGCATCAACGCCCGAAACGTTGCCAACGAAATGCAAAAAGGTGTCCGGCAAGTCCGGCGGGGGTCCCGATAGATTCGCTGGACTGTCGGCACGAGAGGAGAAAAAGGCTCATGTGTACGAACTGACACATGAAGCATGCGAGGCGCCGAACCGCGCATGTCATACTCTCCCACGCCGTGCCTCGAGTTCGAGTTCGCCGTCACAGGGGATCTCGTCCTGCCCCTTCCCCCAGCCCCGCTGACCACCGCCCCGCGCGCGCCCGTCACACCTTGAAGTTCCAGATGAGGTGCGGCAGCGCGTGGTCGCGGCCGAACTGGTAGTAGAAGAGGCGCCAGTTCTTCTCAGACTTGACGCGCTCGCGGCGCCGGCGCAGCACCACCGGCCGCTCGCGCACCCGCTCCTCGGCCGTCTTCTCGTAGCCCATGCGCGTGCGCCAGTGCTGCAGCGCCACCTGGAGCCGGCGGCAGGCGGCGCCACTCACCACACACATGCGTCACCTCGGCAGTCTGGCGGGCCACGCCTGCTGGCGCCAGCACGTGTCCACTCCAGCGATCATGGAGCCCAGTCACGCCAGAGGCAGCCAAACCCGACCTTGCCATTCCCGATCGATCCCGGCACATAGATTAGATTCTCGACTCGCTTCCGATAGATTCAGACATGCATCTCCTGACTCTGTTGATCAGTGCCACCACGATGACGCAAAGGCGCGCACCACAGGGAACTGGCCAGCTCAACGCACGCGCTTTGCCGAACACCCGTGTGCCGTCAAGGGAGCAGGAATTCAATAGCGGGATTTTAGTCCTGTAGGCTATAGCCTGCGGCGAATGGGAGCCAAATGTATAGGTGAGGAAGACTGGCCGATGTCACAAAGCGCCAATCGGCGCCCCGGTGTTTTCAATATCCACAAAACCTATCCTAAACCAAATTCAGTTCACATGTTCCTTGATATACATATATCGAAAAATTAATCGACTTGATCTCATCTCTCAGGAACCGGACACTGATAATCAGGAGCAATCAGCGATGCACTCATTAGTGACTGTTTATAAGCGATAGCCTCCAACAAACAACAGAATACAAGCCATTAAAATCACATGAAGATTTAACACCCAGCACGTCAAATCTACTCATCAGTTTCAACACGGCATACCCACACCATCCGGTCATAATCTTCAAGCACAGGTTTCCTCATCGCAAAAAGTTTGAAAACACCACAGCTGCCAGCATTGTCGGCTCTCCGCACAGCCAATCCTCCAGTATGGGCCGCCTCACCTCGACGTGCTTCTCGACGAACTTCTCGGCGGATCGCAGCTGCTGGTTGATGGCGCGCAGGTGCGGGTTCAGCGGCCGGCCCGTCTGCTCGTTGGCCAGCTGCAGGTTGTCCCGCGTGTTGAGGCGCTCCACGTCGTCGGCCGGCACGGCCTCGTCCGAGTCCAGGAACGACAGTAGGCCAGGCGGCTGGCGGGCGTCGCAGCGGCGGGTCAGCACACGCCGGGGTGGGGTCAGGCGCCAGACGGGCGACAAGGCGGCCGGGGTGCGCGGTCGCCAAAGGCAGGCGAAAACACGTCCAACCACCTCAAGACGACTACGCACGCTTCCCGGTCTTTCTTGCACATCAAGTGTATACCTATGATTTGGATACTATGTGATGAGATGTACTCGAACATGCAATCACACAAGTTCTGTTACACAACCACACATGATAAATAAAGCCCCAGATTCTAGCGTAGCCTATTCACGACACTTTACGACGATGACGATTCGCAAGAAATCAAAATAACTCACAAAATAGCAAATGCCACATCACAAAATAGCCAAATGCGCCCGGACTTTTTGTATCAACAGGCATTTCTCAGCAAGACTCGTGCTCAGGCGAGCTCTCTCAGCGCCCGGCGGCGGCCAACTGACCACGGTACGCGCCAGCAGGTCGGAGGCCGTCTGGTGTCCGGTGCACCAGAGCGTGATCAGCTGGCGGCTCAGCTGGCGGTGCGTCAGCAGCCGGCCGTCGGCCGACTGCGTGAACAGGGCCGTGTGCAGGTGTCGCGGCAGCGCGCCCTCCGCCAGCGCCAGGTCCTGCCGGCCGACGGCGCAGCGTCACCCGGCTGCCACCCGCGCTGCGAAGCCGGACCAGCGCGCCGCGCGGCCGCCGCCACCCAGCCCACAAACAGACGGCCCCTAGGCCAGCACGCGCCGGCCGACTGGACGCACGGCGACAGCATTGCAGCATGAAATGCGACAGCATGCAGTGCCCAGTAGTGCCTGAGCATCAAACAGCGTCGACCGAGAGACGCTACGCCATGCTTCGGCCGCTACCCCAGACCCGGTGCTCTTCAGCACCGCAGGCGGCGCAGTCGCCGCCGACTCCGCCGGCCGGCGGGCTGTCCGTACCTGCACCCGCAACGCGCCCTGTACCGAGGCCTGCATCTCGGCCCGCCCCGCGCACGTACCGCCTTCCGCGCCCACCCGGCGCCCGCGGTGCGTACCTGCATGCGCTCGGCGGTGGCGGCGTCGCCCTCGCCGATGATGGCGCGCATCACCAGGCCGGCGCCCTTCACGATCGCCAGCGACGGGTGCTGGAACAGGGCGGCTCACTGAGGGACGCTGCACCGGAGCCCGCACGGCGCACGCCCGCCCACAGAGGAGGCTGCCTGCCGTGGTAACACAGCTGTCACGCGCGAACACGCTGTGATTGGGACGTGACGCTGCGGCTATGTACAAGGCGCGTTTTCTCAAGGTGTGCGACGCACGCTCCCCGCCGCGCCTTCACCGGCCGCTGACTTATGTGTACGTCCCTGGAGGTCATGCGTGCTCGGAGACGCCCGGCGGCCACGCTATCAGTCGGGAATTGAAGCCGGGTCTTCAGTGCGTAAGCCCCAAGCTCTCCCTACGCTATAACCACTCCCTGTTACTGCGGTACTAAGCTACATAGGGGGCCTACGGATCACGTCTGGATTCCCTTGAGTGCTGACTGCGCGGACCGGCGCGACACCCACGGGCCGCGCCCCTGCCCGGACCGCCTTCCACCGCCGCCGGTGCAGCACCTCACCAGGAAGAGCCGGAAGAGCGCGCGCCCACGGCCGGCCACCAGCTCCAGCAGGCTGTCGAACTGGGCGCCGTCGGTGGTCTCGCTGTACGGCGCGCACAGGCCGTACGTCAGGAAGTCGAGGAAGGCCGACACCACCAGCGCGCCGGTGCCTTGACGCTGCGGGCCGGCCGGGTCACGTGAGGTGGCATCGGATCAGGTCAGGCCAGGACAGGTGCGGGAAGCACGGCTCGTGCGAGCCACACTGAATATCAATACCGAGCTCCGCCGGTCAGACAGGCCCTGCACCTCACACGGGCACTTATACCAACCGAATGATGACAACCACTGCACCGTCAGGCGCAGTCCACTCAGAGCCAATTTTGCCCGCGAACATCGACTCGGGGCCTGCTCACGACTATCCAACCACCGACTCAGAGTCTACCCACGATCATCGACTCAGAGTCATGCTTTACGCCCGCGTGGCAGCCGCCCAGACGCACCACGTGAGCAGACCACACGTCCAGCAGCTTCTCCAGGAAGACCTTGGAGCTGAGCAGGCTGGTCTTGTTCAGCTGCTCCTGCTTCAGGTCGTAGTCGGCGTGCATCGGCTGCAGCAGGGCGGCCAGCATGTCCAGCGCCGCGTGTGTCACAGCGTCACTATCCCGCTTCAGGGCCCGCACCACCTTCAGACCGATCTGCTCCCGGAACCTGCCAAGGTCAGGTCGGGTCACTGCCCCGCTTCAGGGCCAGCACCACCGTCAGGCCGATCCCCTCTCGGAACCTGCCAAGGTCAGGTCAGGTCACTGCCCCGCTTCAGGGCCCGCACCACCTTCAGGCCGATCCCCTCTCGGAACCTGCCAAGGTCAGGTCAGGTCACTGCCCCGCTTCAGGGCCAGCACCACCGTCAGGCCGATCCCCTCTCGGAACCTGCCAAGGTCAGGTCAGGTCACTGCCCCGCTTCAGGGCCAGCACCACCGTCAGGCCGATCCCTCTCGGAACCTGCCAAGGTCAGGTCAGGTCACTGCCCCGCTTCAGGGCCCGCACCACCTTCAGACCGACCTGCTCCCGGAACCTGCCAAGGTCAGGTCAGGTCACTGCCCCGCTTCAGGGCCAGCACCACCGTCAGGCCGATCCCCTCTCGGAACCTGCCAAGGTCAGGTCAGGTCACTGCCCCGCTTCAGGGCCAACACCACCTTCACACCGATCTGCTCCTGGAACCTGCCAAGGTCAGGTCAGGTCACTGCCCCGCTTCAGGGCCAGCACCACCGTCAGGCCGATCCCCTCTCGGAACCTGCCAAGGTCAGGTCAGGTCACTGCCCCGCTTCAGGGCCAGCACCACCTTCAGACCGATCTGCTCCCGGAACCTGCCAAGGTCAGGTCAGGTCACTGCCCCACTTCAGGGCCCGCACCACCTTCAGGCCGATCTGCTCACGGAACCTGCCAAGGTCAGGTCAGGTCACTGCCCCGCTTCAGGGCCAGCACCACCTTCAGGCCGATCCCCTCTCGGAACCTGCCAAGGTCAGGTCAGGTTACTGCCCCGCTTCAGGGCCAGCACCACCTTCAGGCCGATCTGCTTACGGAACCTGCCAAGGTCAGGTCAGGTCACTTCCCTGCTCCAGGATCCCACCACCTTCAGGCCGATCTGCTCCCGGAATCTGGCGAGGTCAGGTCAGGTCGCTGTCCCGGTCGCGACAGCGCAGGCCACCCAGAACCTTTCACGGGTCAGACCAATGCTCCGCCTCAGGGCATGGACTGCCCTCAGAGGCATCTCCTGACGGGACCCGTTCCGTGGCAGGTCATGTCAGGCTCTGTCCCACCTCCGGACACTCATCACCTCCAGGGACACACATCATCATCGGGGACTGTCTGGTGCCTCGGGAGAATTTCAAAGTCAAGCTCCGGTCGGGTCAGGCCATCGCCCGCTTCAGGCTACGAACGATCTTCAAACGCATCTCACTCGGAGCTTGACAACATGAGCCGGGCCACAACCGCATCAAACCATACGACTTCCTCATTCTGGCGCCCGGACTGACGCTCTGACACACAATCAGAATTGGCGGCCATTCAGACAACCGCGTACAGCCACCGCCGGTCGGGCCAGCCTACATCCGGAGCCCGTCACCGGGGTCTAATCGCG